TCACTTTAGGAGATTGAGTTGAAATTTGAGATGAAAACCTTTCCAAATTTCAGAGTCACTCTCTTCCTAAGGATCTTCAAACATTTCAGGTGTGTATGGACCATGCTGCATTTCACCTTTCGGCAACCATTGAGCACTTTGCAAAATTCTTCTGAGATCTGATGAGTAAATATTCCCTAGACCTGCCAGCAGTCCTGTTGGGCTGGGATGCATGGATAAGGAACAATGCTCAGGAACTAAATGGTTCTGTTGTAGGACAAGATTTAACAATACTGGTTCCTGTGATAGGCTGCCTAAGATTTTCTAGTGTGCTAAGCACCTGATCACTCCCACTGAACTGAGATGGTTAAGCAAGAGGGACAGCTGACAAGAGTGGGAGAAGGGATTGTTAAACTGATGTTAGAGGAAGGTTTTCAGGGAGTACAATGGTCATTTCCTGAGTGGAGAAGCAGAAGGAGCTATATAAAAAATTGTGGAAAAACTTTTCAAGTAGGAGGAGTCATGGATGTATCACCTTATGCAGGGATGGTTTCTCAGAATGAACTAAGATCTAGGTATTTTATATGCTTTCAGCTGTATGTAATGTCTTTTTTCTGCTGCTTCTAAACTGAGAATAGCCTGTGTCCTTTAGATGACAAACCTCTGTGATCCTTAGTTATCTGGAGAACAATATAGTAAGTATAGTAAGTTTACTTTATAATTTGCTTTATATTTGTTGAGAAGTGAATACTCATCACTTGCACATGTTTGTCTTTGTAGTTGGCGTGGAATTCCAAGTTTATAAAGAGCTGCAGTGACATAACAAAGTGTTGTTAGTAATGTCAACAATGGTCAGCTATTTAGAGTTTGAAGTCCCTAATTTTCATTTGCAACCATGTGGTTTGGGCACTGCAGTGATGTTAGGGCAGGCATCTTAATTTGGCTTTGTTATGGTGGCCTATACATAGTTTTTACATTGTATAACCAACCAGATGTGTAGGAATTAATAAATGTATTCACATATCAATATTCATCTTTTTAAAATTTTTTAGGATACTGTGTAATTTCAGTGTGCCCTTACTATTATAAGCATAAAATATACTAGTGCTTATACTGGTGTAAACACTTTTACATTGGCTTAACTGCATCACCACTAGGGTTATTTATACCATTGCAGTCAAACTGACATATTTGATGGTGTATTACCTTTAGATATGAACAAAGTCTTAGTATCATTAGAAGCTAACTAGCATTGTAGACATAGAGGGAAATGAAGGAAATACATCTGTGCCATCTCTTGTGCATTGCAAGTACTTTCTCGCATCCTTAAACATCTCTTAGTAGAAACTGTCTTCATGAGGTGTGAATAAGTGCACTTACAAAAATGTGGTGGAAATGGAAATTATGACATATAGTAAAAGGTACTGAAACTAAGCATAATGTCATATGGAAATTCTTAATGTAAGTGGATAACAGTCATACTAACAATCATAATACTGCTGCACATTTTGGTAAGCTGGTGTACTCAGTTGAAATCATGCTCAGTTGCATGATTTTATTTTTTTTGCTTTTGTTCAACAAGAACAGGTAACTGCTCAATGTGCCGTTGAAAATCTTTTGTAGTAACTTTATTAAATATTACCTAATTTATTAAGTGGTAGTGTGTCAAATGGTCTTTTGGAATTGCTTAAAGTGGGCTGTAAAATTCTGTAATAAAGCATGTAGAAGCAAACATTTTAATATACCTTTAAGAGTAGCTCAGTTCTTTGTTGGCAAAAGTCTTTCATCTTGAGCATATAAGTGATCTATTCTGTGTCGTTTAATTAATGACAAAGATTAGTTGTTTATAATTCTGTGAAACAGACATGATTTTCAGTCAAGTATTTCTGGGCCAGTTTTCCCTGGGTTGATTAGTTTTCATACTTTTCTGATCCTGGGTGAAAGAACAGCTGCAGGTTAAAGTTCTGAAATCTCACTCCTCCTGTCATGGTATTGACAAACATTGTCTCACAAACCCAGTATATATTCCCTTATATTTTTCTTCTGCATTTGACATGAGCTGGGGGATTTCAATACAACCTCTCTATCATGAGTATGGAAAGATCTAGTTAAAAATAATAAAAGCACTACAGAAAGTATATTTCAAATATTGTGAAAGCACTTTGCTGGTATATTTCTTTTAAGGATTCCTACTTCCTCCTGTCCTTTTGTTGTTGAACACTCAGAGGTTTTGACATATATGAGCTACCTTATGCAAAGAGTATGTTGACTTGAATAATTCAGAATTTCCAAAGAAAAATTGAGAGAATGGCATATAGAAAAGGAGAGCCTGCAGTCCCACCCTTAGCTATATTGACCTAAGCAAGAAAGCAGAGAGCCACAGTGCCACCTCCTCACTTCCTTTAGTTAATATTTGGAGGTAACTGTCATTGATCAGCACTTATGCTTGGGGATCTGAAAAAGTATCAGCTGTAGTTGTATTCTTTGATGGGAGAACAAAAACACATAAAAGAACTATTTGTGTCTCCCACTCAGAACCCTTGTAATCACACTATGAAACAGGTAGTATTTCCTTCCTCTCAATAAAAATATGCTTTATTTCCCTCACAGGCTACTTTCTACATTTGTAACTATTTTAAGATATCAAATATCTTTATGGTTTTCCTTGACTGCAGTAAACCTTGGCAAGTGCTCTATGAACTGTCTTTTCTCATTTGTAAGGGACACAGCATTGATAATGTTGTTCCTAGGTACTATATGTTTGGGGTTTTTTCCTCACACCCTTGAGTTTCTAAGTCTCAGGATTCCATGGAAACTTGTTTCTCTGAATAGCTCTACTGAACTCCATTCCTACAAGGGCTAGCTCCTGGTACCCAAGTTAGCTAGTTGTAGGCTACCTCATCTATATTGCACCACATTGCAGCTACCATCATAGGCACATTCTCAGTGTTACTTCATCTGTGAAGGTAGCCATGTAAGAATTTATAAATATTGAAAAGGTATGGCGTTGTATCTAAGTGAACCAATCTCAGAAAAACTTTCTCAATTGCAGTACTTTAATCAGACCACAGATTTACAGTCTTTTGTTTATGCTTCTCCACCTGTTTTATGCTTCTCACATCTAATCTAGTCCCAGTAACCTCTCCATACAGAAATGGTTGTGAAGCAATTACTCTTTTCTCTTCTTTGTTCATCAGAGCTATCGGGCTTTAATGATCTGTTGCTGTAAAGTTGTGGCTAGCCCAACACTAATGTGTGTGCCCTCCCAATTTGGTATCAGTAGCTGCTGTGAACTATCTGGCGTCCAATGTGCACACTATACATCACTATGCATTTTGATGTTTGTCTCTCTTTTCTCTAGGTTGTGTTTTGATGTTTTAGATCTACAGGTAATAGCTGTCATGCTACAAATACGAACGGAAGTGAATCGGTTGTGGTTTTAGCATTAACCATTTTAGCTTTTAGATGACTACTGGGAGTATTTTATTGTTCAAGACTGTCAAGAATTTATGCATTTATCTATTTCACAGAGAGTTTTCAGTCAGTGGCAAATATTATAAACTACTATTCAGTCCTAAGAGTATGTGATGCCATGTAGATGGGCTTTGTGAAACTGCTGCTGGAGACGAGGGGAGTGTGCTATTATTCCAAACTAGTCTTAGGGCCCTTCAAGTGGATCACACTCCTGTGAAAAGCAAATTAGTCTTCAGAACTGCTAACTCCATCTTTTAATGGGGGTATAGCAAATGCTTAGCTCTCTCTGCTGGATCTGCAGTCTTTCCTGTCTACAGTTCTGTGTAGACAATTTTAACAATAAAAATTGTGGTTTATTTAAGGAAAACTTTTGCCTCCTGTAAACTCTCAGAATAGTATTAATCAGCCTGTAGATTTTATTAAAATGGACCTAGCTACTCCATTCAGCAGAGCTGAACAGGCACAATCACTTTGAGTGAGAAAGGAGAAAAGGTTAATGTGGAGATGTTCAGTGAAATACAGTCTTTTCAAATTTGCCATCTAGTTCAAGATCATCAGCTTCCAAATCAGTGTCACAAATAAGGTTATAAGCTCAGAATTTAAATGTAAATTGCATTGTGCATGCCCAGACAAAGAGGCCTGAAAGGAAATTTTTGTCTCTGCTGAGACAAATCATCAGAGAAAACTGTGGCCAATGTGCCTGTAGTTTAGAAGTCCAATCAAAATGTAAAAGTTTTACTGTAAAAGTCATAATTTAGTAAGTTCCTGCAGTTCTAAGCTGTACCAAAACCCTAAAAGAAATACCAGAAATTAACTGATGCCAGATGTTATCAGAAATGTGGGAGAAATGTGAGCTGGAGTTTCAGCTACAGTGGTCAAGGCAGCAGCCAAACAAATTAAATTCCTCTATCTTCTTTAGTCTGTTACATACAAGAAGGCCATATATGTGATGATGGTGCCAAAATAGCAGATGAGAGTAACTGTAAAATTTTAGTTCAAGTGCACATTGGCTTTAATTATATAACATAATATGGTTTGCAGTCAGGATACTAATGAGCTGCTAATTCCCAGTCTGAGTAAGAGACTTGATTCCTAGCATAGCTGTTAACTAGCCAGTCTACTCCATACTGGCTGTAGCCTGCCATTATGACTCCCCTAGGAAATACTTCACTGAGCAAGATGTCCTAGTTGTTTAAATGGGAGGAGAATGTGTGATTTAGTGATGTCTGTTCTCCCAGCAAAAATGTCCTGCATGGTGTGAGCCAGTAAGAAAGTGTGTGATCTTTAAGCTGGAGATGTTTGTGCCCAATAACAAGTTTTCTGATTATGTAAATGAGTTCTTAAAATTACTTTGCATTTCTTTCAAGAATCAGAAATACTTCTTTTAATGATGTTAGCTGTCTGGCATTCTGATTTAATAATTCATGCCCTATTCTTTCATATTTCTTTTCCTTTCGACACGCTGTCAAAAAAGAAGACAAAATCAGTTAAATAATTGAGAATATGTGAACTGCCATAAACAATCATTCTTGTTTGTTTCTCTGCAGAACGAAAGGAAGTAAAGGTGGGAGAATATAATGCTGTGGCTGACACACTGGAAATCAACAACAGCATCAGGTTCCAAGGTAGGAGAGAAAACTGGAAAGAGGTACAGAAATGACATGATAGCTGTATGTAGTTTGCAAGACTGTGTGCTCTTAAAGAACTCTTAGAATTTTTAATATCAAAAAGCTCTAACACTGCAGAAAGAGAAAGGGAACTGCGCTGTGCTTAAAAATATAGGAGAATTCTGAACAGAAAATCACAATGTTTTGATATTGTATATTTGAATTTTATTCCAATGACAGAGCAAGTTCAAATGTATATGAGTATACAAATGTTCTTTGATATTTCAGCAAACATGTATGTCTTCTATTTCATCTCCATCAATGAATAATGTTCTAATTTCATCCCCATTTCCCAGTTCCCCAGTTCATCTCACCTGAGGATTGCTCTCATGTGCTGTGTTTGTGCACACAAGAAGGAGGTGTCTGTTAGGCAGTTAGAAAATAGGATTTTAAAATACCGAGGATAGCTTTAACATGGCCCACGTGAAACAGCCCAGCAGCACTCCCAAGGTCCACAGCAGGCATATAGACTTTGTTGCTGCATATTCTTACCATTTTTTATCCCATGCTGCTCCAAAGATAACATGGAGACTTCCTCTGCCCTCACAGCAGTTGAAGTGCAGGCATCCCCATGGTTTTCAGAGCATATGGTCACGGCAGCCAGATGTCAGCTGAAATGAATTTTAGGGGTGTCTCCTGTAGAATAAAGGCATATACATTATTTTCAAAGCTAATATTTAAGTTTTAATCTTAAGCTCTGCTGTGGTGCAGTTGAGGAAGAGAAGTCAGCTTTGTGATTTCTGTGTGGTTTCCCCTGTGTGTGGTGAGGTGAATGAGTATCAAGCTGCTGTACTCTACTACACTTGCCTCCAATGACCCAACACCCAAGGTTTGTGTGAGCATGACTGGAGTTTCACAGCAGTGATCTAATTCATGACCAGTTGCCTATCTGCTGGAGCTTTACACCTTTCCTTTTGGTATCCTTTGCTGGCCTTGAAAGAGCACAGCTGCGTGCACTTCTCACATCTGTCTGGAGAATAAGGCTTTGGAAATAAAGAGTGCAAAATCTGTCCCAGTTGCCGAATTTTGGGACCCAGCAGATTATTTTTATTGCAAGGAGGAAGTAATGATTTAGTTGAATACTGATTCAATACCATTCATTTCCTGAGAATATATGCTGGATGAACCAAATAACAGGAGACAGGTTTTGTTCATGACTCCTTGCCTTTATGGACAGTATATGATGGGAAAAAGTCTGTCCAGCCTTTTTTTCAGGATAAGACTGCTAATTCTTGTTCTAACTCCATCTGAAGGTGTTCTTTCCACCCATGTCCTATATTATGCTTGTCTTAAGATGAATTGTGTGACTCAGAGTGAACCTTCTCCTTTGATCCACCTTAAATGTCATTGAGATGGTTGTATATTCAGTCTGGAGGACACTGTTGTTATGTCTTCCAGGTAGTGTTAAAAAAAACCTAGTAACTAAGTATTTGAAGTAGAGAGTAATAAATATGGCCTGTTTAAAACATTGCAAAAAATTCCACAGCAACTGTATTGAGTGGCCAGTGCACAAACAAGAAAATACATTTTGTAGACTCACTGTTCATTTATATTTAATAAATGTAAACCATCAATATATTCTATATAGTTTGGGTACAGCAGGGTGGAATTTAATTCTCTAGTGTTAATTCTCTTAATGCAGGCGTGTGCTTTATTGCATTTTTGGCTTGTTATTTGTCTAATTTTGTGAATTGCCATGCACTGTAAATGCATACTCTGTGGAGGGAAGGAGAAAAGAGGAAAATTTAAGGTACTTCTCTCCAATATCAAATCAGCAAATTTGGTTATGACAGGTGCTTGTCAGTTACTTAGAGCTTTGTGATCTTCAGGTCTGCAGAGCTCTGCTCCTGCAGCCATGCCGTGAAGTGGAGCTGCTCAGCCCTCTGTGGTTGCCCTCCCAGCCAAACAGGCAGCTGATGTGAAGGGACAGGTTCAGGCACAGTGGGGCACACAAATCCATTTCTGAAGAAATACAGTGATGAAAAAAGCCTTTTGCCAATCTCTTGCATCAAGGGAAAAAATTAGTAAGCAGGTAAAATAGAGTGTGGGATGTAGAGCTTTATTGCAGTTGTTGCAAAGTGATTCTCCTCACCAAGCCAAGAAGCCTTTAAATAGTTGGAGCTGACTGTCAATCAAGCACACAGCTTTAGACATAGTTTTTAAGTTCAGACATTTGAGTCCACATCTGCAGGGATTTGCAAAGTGGGTCTGTTCCTATAAACATTTTGCTATCCGTTTCTCCATATTGTTCCATTCTGTAGAATCCTGAGGGCACTGAGAGCCCTGCCTGCCCTCCCCACCCTGCCCACAGCCTAGGACCCATATCAGTCCCCAGGGCTGTTAGTCCTTGTCCCAGTGATGCCACACTAAGGCTGTTCTCCAGACAGGCTGTTTGAATTTGCTCTGGTAATGACAGTATGCACAGAAATGGTACTTTGTGTTTTCTACTCATTGCTCTGTCACTTGTTTCGGGAAGCATAACCTTCTGGTAAAATTTAAACTCAGTGTTCGTTTGCACTTTAAAATGAGGCTAGTTATCATGTATGGTGTTCTGCATTAGGGTTTTGTTGTGGGTTTTTTTCCCAAAAGAGTATATTTACCAGTTACAGAAATACAAACCTTCTTGTCAATAAATGTGACTAACATATGTCTGTCAAAGCAAATGATTTAATCAACTACTGATGTGGTTCACAGTTTCTAAATGTGCTAAATCAAGGTATAGCACCTAGCTGAGGAAAACTTTCTTACAGAAATCAACATCTGGTTGAGCTTTAGCCTTTTTTTTTTTCTTCTTGTAATTCTAGGTCTTGAGCCTCCCAAGGACAGAACAATTATACAGGAGGAGCTGCGCAAAATCTCCCTGCCTCTCTATAGCATCCTCTCTGTCCTCACCATCCTAGGAATGATAATGGCCAGTGCTTTCTTGTTCTTTAACATCAAAAACAGAAATCAGAAGTAAGACACTCATGTTACTTCTAACACTAATTCCTTCATATTTAAACAGCATGTTTGTAGAACCCATCACATATATATATAAATATATGTGTATGAGGCAAATGTTAGAACTGTAGGATGATATTTTAGAACTATTTACTTGAAATCACTGTGTAATATATTCACATTAAAGCAGACTGTATTCCTGTTCTGTTCATTTATATTGTCTGAAAAGTGTCATTTTAAAATTTTTTTAATGTATGTTTGACTGTCTGCTCATAACATAAACCCTAGCTAATTTATCTGTCACTAAAACAGGTCTTTTTACAAAACATTCAAAACCCTGAAACAATGCTAGACTTTATAAAACAGCAAGTACTCTGCATGCCTATATATTTCATGGAGTTCTGCAAGAAGGATTATCTGTTTTCTTGGTTGCAAAAAGCTCTTCTTTATTGCTCTAATAGCCTAGCAGTAATCTTTGCCTCCTTAATGCGCTATCACCTTTTATCCATAGACTAATAAAGATGTCCAGTCCCTACATGAACAACCTTATTATCCTTGGAGGGATGCTTTCTTATGCATCTATTTTTCTTTTTGGTCTTGATGGATCCTTTGTCTCTGAGAAGACATTTGAGACACTTTGCACAGTAAGTAATTCCATATATTCTAGTTTAAAATAATCTTACAGGAAGCTCTGTGAGAAATGCAAACAGAGAAGTTCAGTAGTTGGATGTCTCATTCCATTTAATCACTGATTCTCTTAGTTTTTTCCTGGGATATTTTCTGGGACCAAGTTCTGAAACATGCAGAAAGCTGCATCATCATCATCATCATCATCATC